TCATTTAAGCTGAGAACTGAAAGGTAGGAAAAAACAAAACCAAATAAATAAATAAATAGTCATACGAATAAAGAAAGGAAAGGAAAACCTGAGCAAAAGGAATCATTTGTTTGTCAAAAGCTTGGGATATTTAGAAAACTGAAAAGAAAAAAAAAAAAAAAAAAAAAAAAAAAACTATTTTAGTTAAGGCGTATTGATCACAGTAGACATCAAGTTGATAAAAAGTGAGAGGCCTGAATGACTTACATCACAGTTCCTGCTAACAAGTATGGGTCATATCTAAATGTAGCAGAAAACCAATGTTTAATTTTAGAAGACGACTTTCTAAATATTTACCGAGCCCGTTTTTGGCCTAGCCCATGGCCACTCATGGATACCCAAAATTATTAATAATTCTTGCTTTAAGACATACACAGTCTATCACATGAGACCATTCTTGATGTAACCAACTGTAATACAGGGGATTGAATGCTAAAGCAGGATCAACATTGAGAAAGCAATTCCAAAGTGAAGTAAATGGCTTCACCTATTCTTTCCACCTAAGGAATTTCTCAGCCTCTTCCTCTGAACTTCTGCTTCAAATTCTCCAACAGTCATGTAGTTTCGTCATTTGCGTACAATGTTCTCATATGTTTGTCTGCTTAATCTGAGGCCAATGGAGTGGTAACCTGGGTTGATAATCTCTCTAGGGTTAATTTACAATTCTCTCCAGACACAGGCTTTTGGTTAGCTTCTCTTGACCCCACCCACTACATCCAGATCAGTAAGAGATTCCCTTTCTACACACTGCAAGACCTCATTGAGTACTGCTGGCTATGTTCCTTCAGGAAGGGAAAGACAGTCTAAGGCAATAACCCAAGGCATGCATTTTACATCTACAGGTGCAGTCACAGCCCATCTACATGTTGATGTTTGAAACTTTAAAGAAAGTCCAGTACCCCTTCATGAAAATCTGTAAGAGATGCTACAGACTTTGATTTCTGGCTCAGGTCTTATCCAGGAATTATGCATTTCATCAGCCTGCATGAACAACTCTGCAAAAGAGAATGGAGTTTTTGACAGACATTTTCATGCCATGGAGTGAATACTCCATCATAATGAGGCAGTGTGTGGTTGTTAACTGCTGTGTTATTAGCACAGGGAAATCAAAATTATTTCTCATCATTTGTCCCATGTGAAAAATACCCTCATTTAAATGTCCTGAGATTGCTCCCAACCAAGTCCAAGGATCAAAATTGGTCTACAGATTTGCCTTTGGTTAGTATGATAATGAGACTTCAACTGCACACCAAATAATTGTATTTATTAAAATTTATGATTGTGCATTAGTGAGTTCAGTAGTATTCAGGATGTCTTGAAGCCATAACTTACAGCCTCAACTTCACCTTCTTCTATACATTTTACTTTTAGAAACTGCAATTTAAATGCAGATGGCTAAATAAATTTCGACTCCTGACCTGAAATATTTTCACCAATGTATGCTATGATGAATTGGCACTTCAGAGCTCTGTTTGTTCCCCGGGGATCCTCTGTTTTGTAGCCTGTGAGACAGAATGATAGTCTCTTCTCTACCAACACACATTCTCTGCAGCATTCAAAAAGTAACATCTCACAGCAATGGTGGGCATTTAATCTTGATTCTCTATCACGGCTCGTTTTTAAGTTATATCCAACAGTCAGTAAAGCTCTTGCTTTGTGAAGGCCACTCTCCCTGAGTTTCGAGTTTCTCAGTCACTATCCTTTTTTATTTTTAAAGGTGAAACTCAGAATCCCTACGTCCATCACTGCTGAGTGTTGACAAGCCACAAACACTGACACTGACAGTAGTTAAAATACAGCTGGTTTAATGCTGGCATATTGCTGTCTTTGAGGGCTGGTTGATATGTGTTCATTTATAATCTAATTGCATGTCCACTTTTAAAAATCAGCTCCCAGTGTGGAATGGATAAAAATACAATTACCAAATGATATGCGTAATCATTCAGTGCTGTTAGTCCTGAAAGGTGATATTGCAGTGACATTGAGAAAATTAGATCTATTCTTCATACAATTATATAGCTACACTTTCACTCTAATGCCATTCTAATTGGGAAGGAGCATTGAAATGTGAAGCTGGGTGCATTTCACTCTCTAATTGTCACTGAGGAACTCATTCTTAAGATAGGTTTCTGGAAAAAGACAGTTCCCAGAAAGCTTTGATAATCCCAAATGTTCATCATTGATTTCATGGCAGGTAAAGCTTGTTTTCCTCCTATAAAACCTAGATCGCTACTGAAAGCAAGCTCACTAGACATACATATTTGAGTGAATGCTTCCAATATATTTAATATATTTCTATTTTTGCAAAGAAAATATCCATATGAAAATGCTCCCCTTATTTTTACTTCTGCATGTACTCTCAGAATGTGAATAATTGCTGCTCTATTTTACAGGGTGGTTGGGAGGCTCAAATTTTATAATAAAATGTGTAAGCTATTTTGTAAAAGCAACATATAAACATGAACTATTACTATTATCAGTTATTAGGTTGGTGCAAAAGTAATTGCACCAGTTACAACAGTAATTGTACCTAATTACTATTGTCAGTTATTAATATTACTGCTGTGATGATGATCATGATGATTACTCAACAGGTGTGAGGACCTAACTTTATCAATTTATTGGTTTTGTGGACCATGCCTATGGAAATTTTGAAGTCAAATCAGTATCTCCAGCCTTAAATCAATTGGGTCTCTGTTGTACAAAGCAAGAATGTCTGAATATATGTGTATTAAGAATTCTCCTTCATTTCTTATTTTTGAAATCATACATTTAGAACCACATTATACCCCATTGATTATTCTACTATTAATTTATATACTCTAAGAAGGCAAGAACTGTGTCTCTTCATAGAAGGCATTGAAAAACATAGCCACAGACTATCCGAACAAATGAATTAACACTTTTATATCTCTTCATTCTTTATGAGCTTATATTGCTTTATGTCATTGAGCACAGCTGTAATAAATGCTTTAAAATCCTTGTCTACAAATCCCAACACATGAGTTATCATCATGGTATATAGGTCTCCATCACTTGTCTTCTTTCTTGAAAATGATTATCTTTTTCAGATTTCTAAATTTTAAATTATAATTCTGTCTAACTATGAGAGCTTTTGTGGAGACTCTGGATTATGTTATGTTCTTGCAAAGATTATTGATTGTTTTTGTTGCTTTGGTGAGTAACTTGAATTACCTCAAACTAAAATAAAACTCTCTCTTTGGCAGCAACTCAAATATCACTTCAGTTCTCTTATTGGCAGACTGGCTATTTGCAGTCTTCCGTGTGAATGTATAGTTCAAAAGTCAGTTAGAGATTTCCACAGACCGTACACACAGAATGTGTTGCTTACCTTCTCTGGGCTCTTTTCTTTTCCAGGACTTCCCCTATCCTTTGTATGACTGTGGTTTCCCCAATTCTGTCCTTTGGTTCTTTATGCCAGAAATACCAACGATTTCTATAGAATATTAGCTGCTCCATGTATGCTAGCTACTCTCAGGCTAAAAGCAACAAAAAATAGGAAACTCATGCTATGTCATTTCCTTCATGCAAATGTTAACATCTCTTCAGAATCTGTCTACTCTTTTTCACTCTAGAGGGTCTTGTATTTTCCAGAGTCTAATCTGGGGGAGGGTTTCTTTTGTAATATACATGATAGAAATTAAATTCAAAAAGGTAATAATGACTTGTCAAAGTCCACAGAGCTTGCTTTAATGCTGCAGTCATAACCATAAAAACAAACATAGCAGCCAGGCACAGTGGCTTACACCTCTAATCCCAGCACTTTGGGAGACTAAGGTGGGTAGATTACTTGAGGTCAGGAGTTTGAGACCAGCCTGGCCAACATGGCAAAACCCCATCTCTACTAAAACAAAACAAAACAAAAAAAAACCAAAACCAAAAATTATCCAGACATGATGGCATGCAGCTATAATTTCAGTTACTTGGGAAGTTGAGGCATGAGAATGGCTTGAACCCAGAAGGTGGAGGTTGCAGTGAGCTGAGATCATATCACTGCACTCCAGCCTGGGTGATGAAGTGAGAGACTCTGTCTCAAAAAAAAAAAAAAAAAAAAAAAGGCCATGTATTAATAGATATTATCATTTTTATTCTAATGTAAGATTTCTTTTACCCCAGATTACTATCTTCTCAGTCAATGCAGCTTATTGTGAGTGGCCCCTCAATTTAAGCATACACGAAGATAAACTTTAAAGATGTTCCAGTGAGATCTAACTGCATGAAAAATGCTTCCTTTTGTTACTGAGGCTTAATTCGAAGTTTATTCAGTGACACAATAGTAATTCCTAAACACCTAACCAACAGTTAGTGGCCACCAAGAATGAACATATAGTGATATTAGATATGATAGATCACTATATGTGACCATATAGTGATATTAAACCGAAACAGCAAGCACCAACAGTAAAATAATTTACACCCACTTCTCAATTCTTAAAAAAGTACTGGCCTAGGAAATCTAAAAATCGAGGAATCGCTGCATATCATCTTAGTGAGAAATTTTACAGACTTAATTTCCTTTCTTTATAAATTGAAATGTTAGATTAAATCATCCTCCTGGGCTCTCAAAGCTCAGTGATTTTATTCTATTGTGTTCACAATGACACAGATTACCATTTGGATGGCCCTATCCAGCTTGCAAGTCTAGAAAAGTAAGACAAAGGAAAAAGAGACAGCCAAACTCAAAGTTTGTGAATCCGTTGAAAGGTATCCTTAACTTTTAGGATAATCATCAAATAATCTTTTCTTAATTTTTCTGTTTTCAAAATGCTATGGGGCTGCTGTGCATATACAGTCATAATCATTGTCTTCACTGTTGGTTTTCTAGGAAGAAATTTTCCTGAATTGGTGATTGGTTCATTGCATGGAGGTTTAGATAACTCCGATGTTTTTCATTGGGAGATGGCTTCTTGGCTCTTCCTTTTCTGCTAGTTTCTTGCATTCTCTGAGCATCTGGTCAACAAGTGCACATCAGTTATTGGAATGAAAAAAACTAATGACGTAGGATTTTTTTTTCTCTGTCACTTTGCAAGCCAGGAACCCCCAGCCAGTGACACTCCACCTGGGCCTCCCTAGACCATGCCGGTGTGCCCCAGCTTGCCTGTGTTACAGAATGTACCTGAATTCAGCAGTTCCTGAGCTCTTATACCACACCCAAGAAGCATGAGGATATGTGGGACATTGAAGAATGAGGAGGGCAGAGAAGAATTTTATTGAATGACAAAAACAGCTTTCAATGGAGACAGGATGTGAGGTTTATTGAAGGTGGGAAAGTTCCCCATGTGGCTGGGTCTGGGGCCTTTTATGGACTCAGAATGGGGAATGTGTGCTGATTAGTTTGTGAATATGCAAAAAAGGTTAAAGCAAAGACACCACTCAAAGGTGGACATGACAGTGTAGAAAACCAATGAGGAAAGGGGAGGTATATGTAAAATAGGTGAAGGGTGGGGATAAATCAGAGGAAAGTGCACTGAATAGGAAGACAAGTTTTCAATCTGGTCCAAGGATTTCACTTGTAGCTTGACTTTCAGGCTTTCAACTGTCTTCAGCTTGGAGGCGGAGTTTTACCAGGGACCCACCCCATCTGCCTAGGCATTTGGCTGCCTCCTGCCACTTTCACTAAGAGCCATGCTAATAAAAGAATAACACATTTGCTGAATCCTAGGATTAAACTGATCACTCTAATTTATAGCCACGTACTTAGAGGGATATAGTAGAATTTTAGTAAACTTGCAGACAATGGTATCCCTTTGAGAGTCAAATTATAAGTTCAACATTTAGTGGATGAATCAGCCTATTCTCAGAAAGAGCAAAACTAGGATATATTCTCTAAAAGATATAATTTTTAAAACAAATCTAGCATTAAACACTATTGAAAGCATATTCTTTGCTTGAGATTTTAGATATATTATTCTCAAAATAACCTTTTGAATTAAAGGGTACTATAATCTCTGTTTTTCCAATAAAAAAACTGAAGCTCAGAAAGGATTTGTAATTTGTCCAAGGTCATTTGTCTGGCAGCATCAAAGTCAGGAATTAAACGTCAGTTTGTTTCTACTCCTAAGTTCATTTGCTCTCTTTGGTTGTTACAAGGGCTGTCAGAAAGGGGCATTTTTGCCCCCAAAGGAAAGTGACAACAATGAGGCCTGATTTCTATGAATCTAGAAAAGGAAGAGCCAAATGGGCTCATGAGAGTTCATCAGGCTTTTTCACGGCCTCAATATCACTCAAGTTTATTTAATCTTCTTTGCACTGATCTTTTGCATTCCAACTCTGGACCTCCAAACTATAGGCCAAGCCCTTTTGCACATCATAGGCAAAAGTCATAAAACACTGTGTCCTTGGCATTCTTACTTTGTAGGCACTGGTATTCATCCTGTAACTTCTCCCAGCCTTGGAATCTATTTCCCAGAAGGGTGCTCATCTGATCTGTGGCATCTTTTTTTATTGCTTTTTGGAACTGTTGCTAGACTCTGCCCCTTTTGTCTTAACCTGAGCTTCAAGTCACAGTCATTCTTCAGATGACATGCACTTCCAACCACTGGAGAAACAACCCATTCTGACCCAAGTGTACCTAGACCAACCCCTGAGACTATACCCACAGCGTCTCGTCCATGCCGCCAGACTCATCTTTCTTAAACGTAAATCTTATCTTGACCTCTAGGCCTGTATCCTCATTCGTAAAACAAGACGGTTGGACTAGATAATCCCTAAGATGACTTCATGCTCTAAAATTGCATAAAATCCTCTCATGTATAAGTGTGCATCTTATTCTAGTATTCTCTAAAGAGTGGGTGAGACACAAGCTATGCTCTTTTAACATGCTTTCTTTGCAGAAAAGTTTTAGAGAAAAAAACACTTTTCACTCAAGGTGTCAGTTATCAAAATCTGTCACAATACAATTTCAATATAGACTATTTAATCACAGAAGTTATTTTAAGTGACCTTGTCATTCCCACTCCATTTGATTTGTTATAATTTACATCCTTTGTACTAGAAAAGAGAAGTGTTTTTCTCTGAAGATGTTTCCTGAGCTTAGTGGACCCAGGGGAAATGCAGAATTCCTTGTGAAATGCAAACACTGTTCAATTTTCTTTCCATTTTTAAGGTTACTGTTGTGACAGAATGCCCCAAAATCTTGCTGTTACGGCATTTTGTTTCAAGGAGTAATGGCTACAGGAAGATAATTTCAGAAGTGATATGAGCATGATGTCAAAGTTTCCCAGAAGCTGTCTGTCCTTCCTTGGGAGTGAAGTTATCCCACATTATCATCTCTCTTCAGCTGAGGATGTTCTCCCAGGAACCGTGCATTGTTGGATAGGCTTAAACTTATTCAACTTGGTACAGAAGACAGTTTACCATGAGCTAATTCAGGCATCCCAGGTAAGTATTTTTTAATAATTTATTTCATCCTAATGCCAGGGTTCTTCCTTAATTTATTATATACGATTCAGTCATAGCACAGAGCAAACATCAGCTAGTCAATCTGATTAATAACCCTATGTTTCCATAGTTGACAAACCCAGTCCTCACACATGTGTGTATAACATTAATATATGTCTAGCTTTACTATATATAACATTAATAATATGAAGAATCATTTTCAATCACTTGACATAACCCATTTCCTAAACAGACTCGATGAACATCCCTTCATACAAAATTAAATTTGTGAATATAATTTTTAAGTATCATCATCTCTACCATCTGGATTAGGCATTACAAATTAAATTTTAGAGGATTGTGATGTCAGTATCTAAGAGATAACTTATGAAATTTAAAAATACTATATAAACAAGGGCTGGCTTAAAGAATAGGAAAAAATCAAGTCAGTTTTCAAAATTGTGTTTCCTTCCTCAAAATACCAGATTGCTTGGCTGAATGCAATGTTTATCTTTATTTCATTGGTTTGCTTACTTTTGCTAAATTATTTTTTCTTTCCTATTCTATTTCCTCATCTCATTCTTGTTTCTTAACCCCTCAATGCCCTTTGTCCACCCCTTAGTCTGTTGTAATTCTATTTAATTGAACTAAAATACCATCTTCTTTCTCAAGTTTCTCTTGCCAAAAGGTAGAAACTTCCCAAGCTGTCATTCTTACTTTTTCGGTATTTACCACTTCCTAGTGGCTTAGCTACTTTTGTCATGTTTTGATATTTTCTCTCTCTAATTAGACTATAAATTCCTCAGACAGTCCCACTTCATATCTCACATAATACAAAGCACAATGGTTGTGTATCTGAGAGGTATCTAGAGAAATTAGCATATGCAAAGAGGTAGATATGGGAGCTGGAGGCTTATCCTACATTTTCTTAATGCAATCACATCAACCAATTGTATCAGGTGCTGAACTCTAGGGTCTTAAAAATAATGAAGAGGCCTATTATTTAGGTCCATTGAGTAAAGACAAACTTCTGGACCCAAATGAGAATATTCATACTGCTCACGTTAAATCTTTTATGGGTCCCCATATCTTGCCCAACCTTATTTAGCCTGATGCCATCAAAAGTGGAATCTCACTTAGCATTAGTTTATTTAATCTAAGGCACATTCATATCAAGAAGGGGTCAACTGTGATGAGAAACAATCTTGCTAGCATTAGTAATTAAAACATTACTATGGTCAGGGTTTCAGGGTTTTCAGATCAACGTAACACAGTTAACTTTGCTGAGTTTACTCTGGTGCACATTTACAGACAAACTTGGCTTTTTTTTCCCCCTTCTTTTCTCATTTCCTAAAGCATATTAACCTCAAATAAGACTTCACAAAATTTCCTAAAGAAATTTCTGAGCACATAGTATGTGCTCAGTAATATGCAGTTATTAATTAATTTACACTACTTTTCTTATTTGTTACATATGCATTCAATAATTCGTATACTAGTCACTTGGTGCAAATGAGAGGAGTGGCCAAGATGGCTGACTAGAAGCAGCTAATGTGTGTGGCTCTCATGGAGAGGAAGGGAAGGGACCTTCAACGGAAACATCCATTGAGACTCGCACTGGGGCTAATCAAGGAAACAGCTTGATGCATGGAGAAGAGAGAAAAGCAAGACAAGACGATGGCCGACCTAAGGGTGACATGGAGCCAAGGGAAGCTCCCCGCCGACCCAGGGAAGTGGTGAGTGAATGTGTGACCCCAGGATCCCAGGCTTCTCCCACGGATCTTTGCAATCCTCAGGTCAGGGGATCCCTTTGTGAACCCACTCCACAAGGGCCTTGAGTCTGACATACAGAGCCGCATGGAGTCTCAGCAGAGCAGCAGCTCAGGTACATGCAGAAACCCAGGAGTTCTAGATTCAGAAACCTAGGAGTTCTAGTTCCAGGCATCCTGGCAAAAGTAGCTGCAACTACAGCAAGGTGAGAAGTTAGATCCTGGTACATACCCCTAGGAAACAGGCTGAATCCAGAGGGCTGAGCAGCAAAGGTCTGCAGGCACCACTTCCATGGCACCTCACAGGATAAGACCACTGGCTTGGAATTCCAGCTAGCAAACCAGTGTTGCGCCTCTCTGGGATGGAGCGCCCAGTGGGAGGGACAAGTTGCCATCTCTGCTGTTTGTACAACTTAGCCATTACATCCTTGGGCTTCAGAGAGTCCAAACCAACCAGGGGTGAAAGGAATCTCCCAGCACAGCAAAGGTGCTCTATAGCAGTCTGTTCTACATGGTCAGACTGCTTCTTTAAGTGGGTCCTTAATCCTATTCCTCCTCACCGGGAAGGACCTCCAAACTGGGGCATCCAGCTACCCCTACCAGTGTTCTCCAGCCAACAGGGATCTGAATTCCTCCTTGGACAGAACTCCCAGAGGGAGGGGAAGGCTGTTTGGGCGACTTAGCCATTTCAGCCTTTAGGCTTCAGAGTGTCCAAGGCAACTGTGGGCTGAAGCAGACCCCCAGCATAGCACAGCTGCAAAAATTTGGCCAGGCTACTTTTTTAAGGCAGTCCCCAATCCCATTCCTCCTCACTGAGTGAGACCTCCCAACTAGGGTCTCCAGCCACCTCCTACAGGTACAGAAAATTGAGATTGGACTTCTACCTAACTATTTTATGAGGCAAGCAGCATCCTGATACCAAAACCTGGCAGATAGGTATCTATCTGAAAAAGAAAACTTCAGGTACATATTCTTGATGAACATCAGTACAAAAATCCTCAACAAAATTCTGGCAAACCAAATTCAGCAGCACATCAAAAAGATTATGCACCACGATCTAGTAGGCTTTATTCCTGGGATGCAAGGCTGGTTCAACACACACAAATCAATAATGTGATTCATCACATAAGCAGAACTAAAGACAAAAGCCACATGATTATCTCAATAGATGCAGAGAGGGCTTTTGATAAAATTCATTGTCCATTTATGGAAAAACTCCCAATAAACTAGGTACTGAAGGAGCATACCTCAAAATAATAAGAGTCACATATGACAAACGCACAGCCACTATCATACTGAATGGGCAAATGCTGGAAGCATTCCCTTTGAAAACAGGTACAGGACAAGGTTGTCCTCTCTCACCACTCCTATTCAACATAGTATTGGAAGTTCTGGCCAGGGCAATCAGGCAAGATAAAGAAATAAAGGTCATCCAAATAGGAAGAGAGAAAGATAAACTATCCATCCCTGTTTGTAGATGGCATGATCCTGTGTCTAGAAAACCCCATCATTACAGCCCAAAAGCTGCTTTTTTTTTTTTGAGATGGAGTCTCACTCTGTTGCCCAGACTGTAGTGCAATGGAGTGATCTTGGCTCACCGCAACCTCTTCCTCATGGATTCAAGTGATTCTCCTGCCTCAGCCTCCTGAAATCTTCTTAAGGAGATAAACAACTTCAACAAATGTTTCAGGATACAAAATCAATGTGCAAAAATCACTAGCATTTGGCCAGGCATGGTGGCTGACGCCTATAATCCCAGCACTTTGGGAGGCCGAGGTGGGCGGATCACCGGAGGTTGGGAGTTCAAGATTAGCCTGGTCAACATGGCAAAACCCTGTCTCCACTAAAAATACAAAAAATTAGCTGGACATGGAGATAAAGAAAATGTAGACTGATAAAGAAAATGTGGTACATATATACCATGGAATATTATGCAGTCATAACAAAAGAATGAGATCATGTCCTTTGCTGGGACATGGATAGAGCTGAAAGTCATTATCTTTAGCAAGCTAAGATGGGCAAAAAATCGAATACTACACGTTCTCACTTTTAAGTGGAGTAAACGATGAGAACAAATGGACACACAGAGGGCAACAATACACTGGGGTCTACATGAGGTTGGAGGATGGGAGGAGGGAGAGTATCAAGAATAATAACTAACGAGTACAAGGCTTAATACATGGGTGATAAATAATCTGTACCACAAAAGTTTTTCTATGTAACAGACACAGATTTACCTATGTAACAAACCTGCACACGTACCCCTGAACTAAAAATAAAAGTTAAAAAAATAGAATGGATTCCTGACTTTGAAAAGATTATAGTCTAAAAAAGAGGAAAATGATTACATAAGTAATAGCAATTCAAACTTCTAATAACAAGTCTTTAAAAAGACAAAACACATCTATTTTTCTTTAAACCTTCATCAAGATTTCACATAAAAACTGCGTTAAATTTATAATTTGATAAGTTTTGATATATATTTATGAATCCATGAAACTATCTCCATAATCAACGTAACACACTCATATTCCCAAAAGTTTCCAGCTGTTTCTTTGTAAGCGTTTCCTCCCACCCTTTCAAACCCCATTTATCCTACAGGCAACCAATGATCTGATTTCTGATGCTACAGATTACTATTTTCCAAAATGTTATATAAATACAATTATGAAGTAGGTATTCTAGCATCTTTCATTCAGCATAATGATTTTTGGATTTATTCACATTGTAGCATGTGGAGTTCATTTATTTTTATTAATAAGCAATATTTCTTGTATGGGTATGCTTGAATTTATTTACCTGTTGGTGAACATTTGTGTGAAGTTTTTAGCTATTACAAAAAACAACTAACATTTATGAACTCATTTTTTGTACATAAATATGCTTTCATGTGTTTTGGATAACTATTTAGAAATACATTGGCTAGGTTATATGATTCACTTTTAAGAACTCCCAAACTTTTTCAAAGTGGTTGTACCATTTCACAAACCCGCCAGCAGTATGAGAGTTGCTCTAGCTGGTCCATGTTTCTAATTTTAGCCATTCTGGTAGGAGTATACTAGTAGCTTCTTTTATTTTGTGTTTCTCTAATGAATAATAATGCCAAGCAAATTTACATGTGCTTATTGGCCATCTGTACATCTTTTTTGGCGAAGTGTCTGAGCAAATCTTTTGCCAATCTTAAAATTGGCTTATTGTTTGTGTTCTTATGAGCTGAAAAGTTCTTCATATATTCTAGATATAGATCCTTGTCTGAATATACATTTTGCAAATGTTTTTCCAGTCTGTGAAATGCTTTTCATTTTCTTGTCAGTGTCATTATGTGTCTATAGCTGAACACTTTATTCTGTTCCAATGAACTATCATCTATTTTTACATTAAGGTCTGGATCACTATAGCTTTTTTTTTTTTTTTTTGGAGACGGAGTCTCACTCTGTCAGCTAGGCTGGAGTGCGGTGGCACAGTCTCGGCTCACTTCAAGCTCCACCTCCTCGGTTCACGCCATTCTCCTGCCTCAGCCTCCCAAGTAGCTGGGACTACAGGCACCTGCCACCACATCCGGCTAATTTTTTGTATTTTTCACCATAGTTTTATAATAAATCTTAAAATCATGAAGTATAAGTCCCCTAAATTTGGTCTTCTCTTCCAGTTATTTTGGCTACTTTAAGCAGTTTCTTTTGATGCACATTTTAGAATTTCTCAATTTCTACCAAAGAAAGAGCCTGAATGAATTTTTATTGCAATTGCATTGAATAGATAGACATATTTTTAGGTTGGGCTTTCTGGTTTTTTGTTGTTGTTGTTTTCTTAGTGTTGAGGTCTAAGAGTTATTTGTATACTTTGGATACAAGCTCTATATCAGTTATGTGGTGTAAAACATTTTCTGTTAGTCTGTGTCTTGCTTTTTGATTCTCTTAACAGCCACTTTTGCAGAATAGAATTTTTTTAAGTTTTGATAAAGTATAATTTATCCATTTTTTCCCCATGGATCATGCTTTTGGTGTTATATCTTAAAAAAAAAAAAAAAAAAAAAAAAAAGCTTTGCCAAACTCAAGGTCATGTAGATTTTCTCCCATGTTTTCTCCTAAAAGTCTATTTGTTTGGTTGTTGTTTTGAAACAGGGTCTCACTCTGTCACCTATGCTGGAGTACAGTGGTGCCATGATAGCTCACTGCAACCTCAAACTCCTTGGCTCAAGCAATCTTCCCACCTTAGCCTCACAAGTAATTGGGACTACGGATGTGGGCCACCACATCTGGCTATTATTTTGTATTTTTTGTGGAGACAGAGTCTCCATATGTTGCTCAGGCTGGTCTCAAGTTCCTGGTCTCAAGTCATCCTCTCATCTTGGCATCTCAAAGTATTGGGATTGCAGGCATGAGCCACTGCATCTGCCCTCTAAAAGTTTTACAGTACTGCATTTTATATTTAGATTACTGACTGCATCTGCCCTCTAAAAGTTTTACAGTACTGCATTTTGTATTTAGATTACTGATCATATTTTGAGTTATTTTATGAAATATTTAAGTCTCTGTTGAATTTTTTTCTTTTTTTCTTTTTCTTTTTTGCATTTGGACATCCAATTGTTTAACAGCATTTGTTGAAAAATGAACTGCCTTTGTTCCTTTGTCAAATATCCATTGTATTTGTATGGGTCTATTTCTGGGCACTCTAACAAATTCCATTGATCTATGGTCTATTTTTTGACAATACCTCTCTGCTTGATAACTGTACAACTTTATAGTAAAACGTGAAGTGTCAGTCCTCCAACTTTGATATTGACTCTAAATTTCAATTTCACAATATCCATAAAATAGGATTTTGCCAGGATTTTGATTGGTATTACCATGATCAATTCCTATTAATGTAAGGGGTTGCCTTAATTGATTTTTAAATATAATACTAGTTTTGCATAACTGGAATAAATCCCACTTGGTCCTGGTAAATAATTGTACATTGTTGGATTT